AGTTAGCCATTAGCGGTATGATGTTTTCCAGCTGTAACAACCTTTCTCAAAGGGTCTATTTTTGTTTCTTTGATTTCCAGGTTTGTCACAGCAACAGTGAATTGGAAACTGCCTATGTGTTGTAGTTGCTTAACTGGAAATTATTGAACTTATAAGTAAAACTGAGTGAAAATCACTAAAGCACATTGGTTTCCACTATTTGTCTGTGATAACATCTTAAATATCCTCAGAGGCAACAGAAAATTAGAATTGCGGGGCTTAAATATGCATTAAAAACTAAGCTTCCAAGTTGGGTTCAGCAAAGTTAAGAGCATATGTGATGGGTAAAGGTAAAGGTTTTCCCTTGACATTAAGTCTTACGTGTCCAACTCTGGGGGGTGGTACTCATCTCCATTTCTAAGCCGAAGGGCCAGCATTGTCCATAGACATCTCCAAGGTCATGTGGCCAGCATGACTGCATGGCGCACTGTTACCTCCCCGCCAGAGCAGTATCTATTGATCTACTCACATTTGCATGTTTTTGAACTGCTAGGACGGCAGAAACTGGGGCTAACAGTGGGAGCTCACCCCACTCCCTGGATTTGAATAAAAAACCTTTCAGTCAACAGTGTAGCAGTTTAATTTGCTGCGCCACCAGGGGCATTTGTGAAACCAGTACAAAAATGTCTAACTTAGTTTACTTAATATGAATTAGTAAGGGTGGTAGTTAGCATCACACAAAGTTGTTGTTTTTATATTTCTTTATATCCTTTTTCTCTCTCTCATAAAAGAGACTCAAAGTAATGAAACATTTTGTTTCATTGTATTGGGGAGGAAAGAGCTTTTATTATTTTAGAAATGAATACAGTTTTGCTTAAAAGGTGACTGAACTTATGCCTGAACTAGTGATGAGATTTGGAGAAGGTAGCTGTTTTAAGCTTTTTCCAGATACGGAGTTTAGCAACCCTTGTAATCATACATTTAGAAGGAATCTGATGAAATGTTGTTACATTGCTTGTTTTATTTATCTTGAACCAGTTATATTGACTTGGTTATAAACTGAATTCCCCAGAGAAGGGCTTCTTAAACTTTTCCACTCTGGTCCCCTTTTGACCCAAGATATTTTTACGTGACTCCAGCTATATACGTAGGTATGTAAAATAGGTATAAAAACCAAGCATTTACTGATAACAAACCAGCATTTGCAATGCTTGCTAAACAGGCTGGTTTTCCTTTTTAGGAAATACAACCGAAGCGTCTTCCACAAAGTCCACTGTAAACGCTGCATAACAGATTTGTGTAAAGTCCAAAACACCTGGAGGGAGGGCTGAAGTTTGCCCATGTGTAGTATAGATGCACCTCCTGAAGACCATGGAAACCCCACTGGGTGACCTTGAGCGAGTCACACTCTCTCCGTTCTTAAAAAAAACCAGATAAGGTTGCAATAGTCTTAAAGGATGCGCCCAACAACAGGAAATATACCCTATGAAATCCATGGGGTTGCCATTATTGCATAACTGGTCCAGCGAGATATTAGCACAGGAAAGAGTGGTTGTTAGAGATGTACTCTGGGAAAGAGTGGTTGTTAGACATGGTTTTTCGGCAAGCCTTCAACCATATTTAGATCCCTTTAATGAATATACATGAAGACCCATAGATTTCACCAAACACTTTACATGACTGAGATTGATTATTGTTGTTTTATACCTGCAGCGCTTACTGTATTTTACTGATTTTAACCAGGAGATTTTGTGAAGTGAGATATTTATGTTGGCTGTCATTGTTTTATGTTACTGTTTTTGCAGTGTTTGTATTTTCTATGTTTGAGCCTTTGAGTGCTTTGTAAACCGCGCCGAATCCCTCTGGGAGATGGTGGCGGGTTATAAATAAAGATGATGATGATGATGATGATGATGATTATTATTATTATTAGAAACATAACACGATTTGTACACAGAAAACAAGGTTACTATGCTGGCTGTTGTATTGGATCACATGTTGGACATTTCCCAAGTGTCTAGGACTGTGTGATGTATCGGCGATCACCACTGGGACCACCTTTACTGACTTGTGCCAGAGTCTTTGCAGTACGATCTTTAAATTCTCGTATCATGTCAGCTTTTCCAGTTTATTATTATTATAAACACAAAAAGATTAGTATACAGCAAACAATGTCACTCTGCTGGCTGTTGTATTGGTTCACACATGGGACACTTCCCAAGTGTCTACGACTGTGTGATGTATCGGCGATCCCAGTAGGGTGGCCTTCTGCAGCTGACAGATGGTAATTTTGTCAGTGCGAATTGTGTTTAAGTGCAGGCCAAGGTCTTTAGGCACTGCACCCAGTGTGCCGATCACCAGACCCTTTGCAGTTCGATCTTTGAATCCTTCAGTTTTTTATTATTATTTGAAACACAACAAGATGAGTCCACAGCAGACAAGATCACTCTGCTGGCTGTTGTATTAGATCACACGTCGGACACTTCCCAAGTGTCTAGGACTGTGTGATGTATATCAGCGAATAATGTGTGCAGATCCCAGTAAGGTGGCCTTTTGTAGCTGGCAGATGGTAATTTTGTCAGTGCCAATTGTGTTTAAGTACAGGCCAAGGTTTTTAGGCATTGCACCCAGTGTGTCGATCACCGCTGGGTCCACCTTTGCTTTCTTCTTGTTGTTGTTGTCATTATTATTATTACTAGCCATCCCCTGCCACGTGTTGCTGTGGCCCAGTCTGGTCATCTGGAAACTAAAGTAATGAGAAAGTGTTGGTTTCTAATATATGTAAAAAAAAAATGTGAATAAACAGTATTTCTTGCTGTTTCTTTGTCAGTGTTGATGTAGAGATTGTCTGGTTTACCTACTCTGGAACAGGCAACATATTATTGTCCTTTAGGGGTCTCTTTCACATCTATGATACTATATCCGTGCCTGTGTGAATCATATCTATCTATCTATATCTATGGCTGGATGGTTCTTGTGTCAGGAGGGCTTTGATTATGTTTCCTTGCTCTGGTAAAGGGAGTTGGACTGGATGGCCTGAAAGGAGATTCCATCTGAACATTAGGAAGAACTTCCTGACTGTGAGAGCTGTTCAGCAGTGGAACTCTCTGCCCCGGAGTGTGATGGAGGCTCCTTCTTTGGAAGCTTTTAAACAGAGGCTGGATGACCATCTGTCAGGGGTGATTTGAATGCAATATTCCTGCTTCTTGGCAGGGGGTTGGACTGGATGGCCCATGAGGTCTCTTCCAACTCTATGATTCTATGATTCTATAAGTATTTTCTGTTGGTCATGGGGATTCTGTGTGGGAAGTTTGCCCCAACGCTGTTGTTGGAGGGGTTCAGAATGCTCTTTGATTGTAGGTGAACTATAAATCCCAGCAACTACAACTCCCAAATGACAAAATCAATTTTTTTTAGTGAAGGACATACATTGGGTTGTTAGGTGTCTTGTGTCCAAATTTGTGTCAATTCATCCTGTGGTTTTTGAGTTCTGTTCATCCCACAAACGAACATTACATTTTTATTTATATAGATATTATTATTATTTTATTAGTAATAATAAAATAATAATAAATAATATTAATATTATTATTTATTATTGTTGTTATAAGGCATTTGAAAGCACCAATTAGTAATAGGGCTGGGAAACCGGGTTGTTGTAGGTTTTTTCGGGCTATATGGCCATGTTCTAGAGCAGGGGTCCTCAAACTAAGGCCCGGGGGCCAGATACGGCCCTCCAAGATCATTTACCTGACCCTCGCTCAGAGTCAACCTAAGTCTGAAATGACTTGAAAGCCCACAACAACAACAATCCTATCTCATCAGCCAAAAGCAGGCCCAAAAGCAGGCCTATCTCATCAGCCAAAAGCAGTAGTATTCCCATTGAATACTACTAAATTTATATTTGTTAAGATTGTTCTTTGCTTTAATTATTGTGTTGATTTGAAGTGTTTTTGCACTACAAAAAAGATATGTGCAGTGTCCATAGGAATTTATTCATTTTTTTTCCGAATTATAACCCGGCCCTCAATTTGAGGGACTGTGACCTGGCCCTCTGTTTAGAAAGTTTGAGGACCCTGACTAAATATAATAATAATATACTAAAATAATAAATTTATTATTATTAGTATTATTATTATTTATTTACCGCATTTATAAAGCCTTAGAGGGGCTTTCATGGCCGAACTCACTGGGTTGTTGTAGGTTTTTTTCGGGCTATATGGCCATGTTCTAGAGGCATTCTCTCCTGACGTTTCGCCTGCATCTATGGCAAGCATCCTCAGAGGTAGTGAGGTCTGTTGGCACTAGGAAAATGGGTTTATAAATCTGTGGAATGACCAGGGTGGGATAAGGAACTCTTGCCTGTTGGAGCTAGGTGTGAATGTTTCAACTGACCACCTTCATTAGCATTTGATGGCCTGGGAAACTTATCAGGAAAGATCTTCTCTGTGTTAGTGGCAAGCATCCTCAGAGGTAGTGAGGTCTGTTGGCACTAGGAAAATGGGTTTATATATCTGTGAAATGACCATGGTGGGACAAGGAACTCTTGTCTGCTGGAGCTAGGTGTGAATGTTTCAACTGACCACCTTGATTAGCATTTGATGGCCTGGGAAACTTATCAGGAAAGATCTTCTCTGTGTTAGTGGCAAGCATCCTCAGAGGTAGTGAGGTCTGTTGGCACTAGGAAAATGGGTTTATATTTCTGTGAAATTACTATGGTGGGACAAGGAACTCTTGTCTGCTGGAGCTAGGTGTGAATGTTTCAACTGACCACCTTGATTAGCATTTGATGGCCTGGGAAACTTATCAGGAAGGATCTTCCTTGTGTTGTTGCCTGGAGGCAGGTAAGAATGGCGCAAGAAGCCCTTCCTGCTTCCAGGCGGCCGGGGGAAGGCGACAGGTGACCCAGTTGCAGGGTGGATGAGGTCCCTGGCATTTCCCGTGGCGTGGCTCTTCGCTTCGGGATGGCGCGGGCAAAGGTCGGTTTCTGCTCTCTCCTTCCCCTCCTCCTCCTCTTCCTCCTCCCTCCCCTTCGGCTTTGCAGAGGTATGGAAAGCCGGAGGAGAACAACACCGACGGAGACCGGGAAGGGAGGGATCTTGCTTGCCTCTTTCCCCCTGCAATGCCCTGAAAGGTCCGGGCTGCTCATGGATGCTCTCTCTTGCTGCTGCGGGTCTCTTCCCCTTTTGATCTGAGCCCAGGCGCCGCTCCGATTGGCTGCCTCCCTTGTGACGTCTGTAGGCTGCGGTGGTCCCTATGTAGCCAAGCCTTGAGTTGCCTCCGTCCCCTTCCAGACCAGCACCAAAGGGAGAAGGGTGCAGGGAAGCGGGGGGAAGCTCGGCTCCTGCTTCCGTCTTTCCTTTCTCCTTTCCCCCCCTTTCCCGCCCCGATCCTCCTTGAGAGGAGGGGAAAGGGGGGCAAAAACTCCTTCCCTCCCCCGCAGTCGTGAGGCAAGACCCACCTCCAAGAGCCATGCAGCCCGCAAAGTTGGAAACCTAAGCTGAAACTACATCTCCCTCTCTCTTCCTCTCCTTCCCCTCTTCCTTGCTTTTGCACAACCGGGATCCGCTCCAAGGACGCACGTGAGTCTGCCGCACTTTTGACGGGGGAGAAGGAGTTTCCAGCATCAGCCAAGGGCAAAAGGGACAAGGGAGGGATGGGGAGGCAGCCTGATGGGACCCTCTTCTCTTCAGCCAAGGGATGCCCAGATTCCAAGCACTCAAGTTAACAGGTGAAGGAGAGAAGGGTCTTCTTTGGTGACTTGGTGGGAAGGTGAGGATGGACAGCACCAGCCAGAAAGTGGGGACTTGGGGCCTCATCACACTAGAGAATGAATCCACTTTAAATCTAGTTTCTGCAGGATTCTGGGGTTTGTAGTCAGAGGAGGCCTTAGGTAATTTTCAATGGTAAGCAAACAGTATGTTGCCCCCCCCCCCCAACCAATCACTGATATATATTTTCTGTGCGTCATGGGAGTTCTGTGTGCCATATTTGGTTCAATTCCATCATTGGTGGAGTTCAGAATGCTCTTTGATTGTAGGTGAACTATACATCCCAGTAACTACAACTCGCATATGTCAAGGTCTATTTTCCCCCAAGAGCGCCTCAAGAGCGCCCCTGAGCAAAATCAACTGTGCTGCGAATGCTTACTTTGTGTAATGGGTTGAGCCGCCCCTGTTTGTAGTTTACTGAGGCTGTTAAAGGCTATACTACAAATCCCAGAATTCTGCAGGAGGCAGAAACCGGCTTTCTCTAGTTCGATAAGGAATCTAGGAAAGGATAGACAAGAATTACTACCAGGATAAGAGACAAGAGTATTCAATTTGGACTATTTGCTCCTCTCTCTGGGTTTGGTGTTTATTATCCTAAGGGTCTAGAGCAGGGGTCCTCAAACTAAGCCCTGGGGGCCGAATACGGCCCTCCAAGGTCATTTACCCAGCCCTCACTCAGAGTCAACCTAAATCTGAAATGACTTGAAAGCACACAACAACAATCCTATCTCATCAGCCAAAAGCAGGCCCACACTTCCCATTGAAATACTAACAAGTTTATATTTGTTAAAATTGTTCTTCATTTTAATTATTATATTGTTTTTAAGTGTTTTTACACTACAAATAAGATATGTGCAGTGTGCATAGGAATTCATTCATTTTTTTCAAATTATAGTCTGGCCCTCCCAACAGTTTGAGGGACTGTGACCTGGCCCTCTGTTTAAAAAGTTTGTGGACCCCTGCTCTAGTTCAATGAGGAATCTAGGAAAGGATAGACAAGAATTACTACCAGGATAAGAGACAAGAGTATTCAATTTGGACTATTTGCTCCTCTCTCTGGGTTTGGTGTTTATTATCTTAAGGGTCTAGAGTAGTGGTTCTCAACCTTCCTAATACCGTGACCCCATAATACGTTCCTCATGTGGTGGTGACCCCCCAACCATAACATTAATTTTGTTGCTACTTCATAACTAATTTTGCTACTATTATGAATTGCCATGTAAATATCTGATATGCAGGATGGATTCTCATCCACTAGGCTAAATTTGGCACAAATATCCGATACGCCCAAATTTGAATACTGGTGGGGTTGGGGATTGGGACAGATGCTCAGTATGACCAGACATGATATCTGGTAGAGGTTGAGTAAAATAGACCTTGTCATTTGCGAGTTGTAGTTGCTGGGATTTATATTTCACCTACAATCAAAGAGCATTCTGAACTCCACCAACAATGGAATTGAACTAAATTTGGCACATAGAACTCCCATGACCAACGGAAAATACTGGAATGGTTTGGTGGGCATTGATTTTGAGTTTTGGAGTTGTAGTTCACCTACTTCCAGAGAGCACTGTGGACCCAAACAATGATGGTTCTGGACCAAACTTGGCACTAATACACAGTATGCTCAAATGTGAACACCGGTGGAATTTGGGGGAAATAGGCTTGATATTTGGGAGTTGGAGTTGCTGGGATTTATAGTTCACCTACAATCAAAGAGCATTCTGAACCCCATCAATGATATAATTGGCCAAATTTCCCACACAGAACCCCCATGACCAACAGAAAATACTGTGTTTTCTGATGGTCTTTGGCAACCCCTCTGACACCCCCTCATGACCCCCTCAGGTCCCAACACCCAGGTTGAGAACTGCTGGTCTAGAGGATGACCAAGGGGCATATTGTGAGAACTGGACTCTAGGGGATGATAGGTAAGGGTTAGTACTGGGTAGTTGTAGGTGAGACAAAAGATGCAGAATTTAAGTCGTACTGTTTGTTCAATTCTCTGGGTTTAGAGGTTATGATCTAGGGTTCCAGATGATCACTTGGTGGGAAGGTGGGATTGGAGAACAGGGGCCAGAAAGTGGGGACTGGGATCTAGGGAATGATTGGATAAGGATAAATACCAGGTGAGACAAGAGATTCAGAATTTGATGTGGACTCTGCTTGTCTCTCTGAGTTTGGAGATCACTCTGGAGATGATGACTTGTTTGGAATGGAGAACAGGGGCCAGAAAGTGGGGACTGGAATTCAGAGGATGATTGACAGGGATTGGTTCTGGTTGTCGGTAGGCGATCCAGAGATGCAGGATTTAATTTGGGCTGTTTGCTTGTTTCTCTGGGGGAGGATGTTATGTTCTAGGACAGACATGGGTAAGCTTTAGCCCTCCAGATGTTTTGGACTTCAACAATTCCTAACAGCCAGTGGGCTGTTAGGAATTGTGGGAGTTAAAGTCCAAAACACCTGGAGGGCCGAAATTTACCTATGCCTGTTCTAGGGGGTCTAGGTGATGACTTGTGGGAATAAAGACAATGGGCCAGAAAATGGGGATTGGAAACTAAAGGATGATTGGCAAGAATTTATTCTGAATGAGGGTAGGTTGGACAAGAGATGCAGAATTTAATTTGTTGTTTGCTCATCTCTCAGAGTTTGCAGGTTATGTTTTAAGGATCTCAAGGATGACTTTTTGAGAAGGTGGGAGTGGAAACTATGGGCTAGAAATTGGAGACTGGGATCCAGAGGATGATGGGACAAGGATCAGTACCAGGTGGGGCAGAGGAGATGAGACTGGCAAAATTCAGTTTGGGCTGTTTTCTCCTCTCTCCATATTTGGGGGTATGTTCTAGAGCAGGCATCCTCAAACTGCGGCTCTCCAGCTGTTTGGGCCTTCAACTCCCAGAATTCCTGACGATTGAACAAGCTTGTTAGGGCTTCTGGGAGTTAGAGTCCCAAACAACTGGAGGGCCACAGTTTGAGGATGCCTATTCTAGAGGTATAAATGATGACTTGATAGGAAAGTGTGAAAGGAGACCGTGGAAGTCTGGAATCCTGTGGATGATAGGGCAAGGATTAGTATTAGGTTGGGACAGGTGAGAACTTCCAGAGTTTAATTTGGATTGTTTTCTTGCCTCTCTTTAGTGGAGGGGGTTATGTTCTAGCCAAAAAAATGTGTGATTTCCCCCATCTATTTACAGCAATTTACAGGGGAAATTTTTCCTTGTAGAGTGAAGTCACAGTTTATAGATAGATATGGTGGCAGTGATCCAGAGTGTATCTGTCCCCTGGTCATTTGAGGATATGCGTGTGGGTGGTTATTCAATACCTTTGGCATTGGCCTGCTGTAGGTTACAATAGAGGTATGTGCAAAGCAGTTCCCTGAGGCGTTTCCTGGCCTGACCTCTATATAAATGCCATCCAGTCAATCTGGGATTTCCACATTGACCATGATTTCTGTTTTTGGAGTGATGGCCGGAAGTAATTTTTCCTAATCCTCAACCCATCATTTTTAAAAGATATTTTGTTTTGTGGTGGCATGTTAAAATGTCAGAAGTTTCTTTCCCATTGTCCCACAGGACACATACACGCATACATGCACACCCACCAAACCAAGGGATAGAAATCCATAAAGCCTAAAGTTTGCAGGCTGTACTTATTATTTTGTGTTGGGGGAAGCTTGGGCCACTGTTTTGTCTTGAGGAGGCTCTCTGAACAGATAAAAAGGGCACATTTTGGCTTCTTCGCCCTTCAAGCATTCTGAGCCATGGGTCCCATCTGTCACAGTCACTACAGCCAATGGTTTGTGGGTGATGGGGGAAATAGTCCACAATATCTGGAGGGCCCCATATAAGAGGAAGCTGAGTGCATGACACAGCAAAGTAAACTGATCTGGGACTTGTCAGTACAACTATAGGAGGAAAGTTGCTACATCGGCTGCATTGAGCCCCAGGGGGAAAGGCAAAATGTGGATGAAATAAACAAACAGATATTGGGAAAGCTGCATTTTTGGTTTATAACTTCAAGCATTCCCCAGTCAGTGTGGCTGTTTTATCTATACATACATATCCAGTAGCTGATACTGCTGAAAATTGGACGTGTCAGTTGATATTGCAAAATCCAGAAAGATGCATAAGTATGTAGGCAGACTATAGAATCAGTGATCCAAAATGTGGGAAGATTACTACAAGAGAGGATGTGTTTAGGGGACAGGCAGAGAGTTCAGAAGGAAAGCCTGGGAAAAGAATTTACCAGGTTGGGCTTTCATGCCAAGCAGACTGGACCAGAAAGTTGCATTGTTTCTCCTGTTTGGGAGAATTCAGGAGGTGAGATGGTGGGGTTTGAAGAAGGCTGTGAAATACTGGCTTAAACGTCTGCTGAAAAAGTAAAGCAAGACCTCCTGTGTGATAGCCAAGAATAGGAAAGATGTGGCACAACTAAACAGTTTTTCTGCTGTTTCTAAACTGTGCTGCATCTTAATATTAAATCCATGTTACAGATGGAGACCTGAGACAAAATAGTAGCTCAGTGGTTCTCAGCCTGTGGGTCCCCAGGTGTTTTGGCCTACAACTCCCACAAAAACCCCAGCCAGTTTACCAGCTGTTTGTGTTTCTGGGAGTTGAAGGCCAAAACATCTGGGGACCCACAGGTTGAGAAACACTGTGTAGCTCATTAAAGACTACAAGTTAGGGAAAACTTTTAACATAACACGTCCTGGGGCTGCACCAAATGTTTGGTTAATAAAGCCTGGTTCGTGGCTTTTGGCAGTATTATGGGCAGAGATGCAGGGAAAGTAGGACTGGCTAAAGTTAGTAGATGCAGGGCGTAAATTGAAAATCTTCAGTTTTATATTGCATGTCAGGCAAAAACAAAGTTTTCTTTGGACTTTGGATGGGATCACTTGCATTCTGCCTCCTTCTGCATAGGCTACTATGTGTCAGTCCCCCTCTTCAGAATTTTAGGGTTTTGTATAATGGGTCTACCATGAAAACTACCTACATTTACACTTTGGCTTATTGTACATAATGCATCTTCCCTCCTTGGGGTTGAGTATAGAGGTATACAAGAAAATGGACTATTGGGATTCCTTTTTTGACTGTAGGAGCCTATGGTAACATCCTAAGTTGTTTGGCCACTACCACATCCTATGCTCAAGTAATTCATATGTTAAATACACACTGCAGTGGAAGCTCGAAGTGTCACTTTTTTTAAAAAAAAACCATAGTCTTAGAATCCCATGGCTGCTGGCCATGCTGCCTGGGGGATACTGGGCTTTCTTATACAAAACTAATACAAAAAATAAATTCCAAATTCGGACAGTGGCCATGGAACATAGACACTGTTTCCAAAGACCTTCTCCAACTTAATGCCCTCCAGATGTTTTGGAAACCAACTATCAGATGTAGCTAGCATGACTGGCAGCCAGGTGAGCTGGGAGTTTCCATCTTAAACATCTGAAGCGCATTCTGTCGGGAAAGCCTGCCCTAGATCATGAACTGGAACTGATGCAAGTGTGTGGTAAAGTAGTGGACTGGTGCCAGATGAGAAGGGTGAGATGATTGAGATTTCTTACCTGCCTATCCCTATAGAAGAAGGTGGCGAACAACAACAGATTAAAATACCACGAGAGATTAGACACACAAACATAAGTTTAAGAACAGATAACATCACTTTAAAAAGCATAGAGTGTTACAATGCAGTTGCAATCTCATACTACATCTCTGGGCAAAATTATCCTAAGTTTAGTGGAACTCACATTTAAGCAGGCATATGTTAAAATTTTCTGTAAAATGTGTACATCACTCTTAAAATATCCAGGTTTTTATTTGGGAAGTCAATCAAAGCTGGGGAAACTTAGATTTTGAAATCACAATTCAAAATGTAGGTTCTGGGACTTGTAGTCTATCCCTTCCTTTAAAAATAAACCACCTCAAGCTCTGGCATGTCCCAGATGCATATAGACAAGGCTGCTTTGTTTACATCTGCTATAAAATAGTTGCCCACACATTCACCTCAATACCGTTTTAATGATACCCCTGTCCTTTTGCACATCTTTCTGGTTTCATTTCCTCATTGGTCAATATCTTCTCATCTGATTGACCTTGGCATATCCGTTACCAATTGCCCGAGCTTCCCTCTGCCCCACCTTGATGTATGTAGATAGCAGCCTCCCTTGCAAGGTTATGACAGCAGCCTTCTCATGGTCGCAGGGACAGGAAAGAGCAACATTGAATTTAGGGCATGTTTTGAAAGAGTGGTTTGGACATCTTAAAAAATACAGCCCCATGGAGATCCTCCTCAAATAACTGCACTGTTTTTTCTGGATGAAAATCCTTCCAATATAAATACAGGTTTATCCATACGACGTTTTATTCCGAGCCCTTTCAGGGTTTTCTTTTTCCATGTTTGCTTATTTGTTCTTCTTCCTTTGGCTTCTCTCTTTCTTTTCTCCGGATTAGGTGATTTTCCCTTCTGAGGGACTCCCACAGACCAGCTGTCATCAGGCAAATAATGTGTTTGTCAGTGGAAAAAGGGATTTCTAACTATTCCAGTTCTTTTAACAAAAAAATCAACAGGGAAAGCTAAATTTAGAAACTACCTAAATACCTTTTTGAATTCCCTCTAAATTAAAAACTGTTCTAGTAAAATAAAGCCAACATTCCTTCCAGGGTTCTGTGCCATTCTCCACAAAGTGAGTGGCAACCATTGGGTCTGGAATGGCAAGATAGGCTTTGTACTGCAGCCTCAAGATAAAACCAGCAAGACACAAGTGTGAAGGTGATCTCTCTCTCTCATTTTTAGTCCTACCTGACAGGGTTGTTTAGGAGGATTATTAAAATAAGAATGGCTTTATTTGATGGAAAGTGACGTGCGTGGAACAAATTATCTTTAGATGCCAATCAGTTTTCAACACTTCCTCATTCTTTTGTGACTGAGATCAGCTTCTCATAGAGATGGTCAGCCTGTAGAGATGTGCATGAGTGAATACTCCACTCTATGACACACACTATAATGGAGCCCCCGGTGGCGCAGTGGGTTAAACCCCTGTGTCGGCAGGACTGAAGACCGACAGGTCGCAGGTTCGAATCCGGGGAGAGGCGGATGAGCTCCCTCTATCAGCTCCAGCTCCTCATGCGGACATGAGAGAAGCCTCCCACAAGGATGATAAAAACATCAAATCATCCAGGTGTTTCCTGGGCAATGTCCTTGCAGACGGCCAATTCTCTCACACCAGAAGCGACTTGCAGTTTCTCAAGTCGCTCCTGACATGATACAAAAAAAAAAATTGGAGGTTTGAATCTGGGGAGAGCATGGATGACCTCCCTCTGTCAGCTTCAGCTGCTCATGCGTGGACATGAGAGAAGCCTCCCACAAGGATGGTAAAACAACAAAAATATCCAAGTGTCCCTGGGCAACATCCTTGCAGATGGCCAATTCTCTCACATCAGAAGCAACTTGCAGTTTTTGGCCTACAACTCCCAGAAATCCTAGCCACTTTACCAGCTATTAGGATTTCTGGGAGTTGGAGGCCAAAAACTTCTGGGAACCCCAGGTTGAGAACCACTACCATAACAGGAAGGCAATAGCACATCCCTTCTATGTATCTATCAACCCTTTTCTGCCTTTTTATGACATCCCAAAACTGTTTCCTGAAGCAGGCACTTTGGCTTGGGTAGTAGTCAGGCTGGCCTAGGAGAAGATAAATGCCTGGCACGTCTGTCCTCATGCCCAGTGCGAACAAAAGCATTGTTGACTCATCTTGAAATGGTTTGTTTTTTTTAAAGTATCAGGATCTCCCTCCCTCTCCACCATCACCCCCGCCCCGGTTGGTTTCCGATATGCCAAATATTGCCATGACTCAGCTGAGCCATGCAAAACAATGCACTCATGTTTAGTCTGCGCTTGGCCTGCAAGCAGTGAAGTTGATCGTCATAGGTTAAGCGAGGACACGCAGCCGCTTGTGGACACTGTGTCTTCCCATCCAACTCCCATTGCGGAAAGTGAGAGACAATCACAGTCTCTTGACAGGAAGACTTTCTGAAATCAGAAGCATTTTTATGCTCAGAGCACAGGATGGCATTTTTTTCTTCTTCCCTTCTTTCATCAGATCAGCACACAGTTTCATGCTGAGCTATATGAAATTTTTTTAAGAAGGAGCAACTTAGAGAAAGGCATATCCCATTGTTTCCTGAGGGGTTTTCATCCTGCCTTAACATTTCAGTAGGACATATTTTGCAGTGACAAAAGGAGAAGAAGCACATTTAGATGCAGGCATAGGACACGTTTGTGCCGGCCCAACTACTAGACAAAAGGCAGCATGTTTGAAGTATCATGAAAAGACCACAAAGTGTTCATGTTTTTCCAAAATAAGTTATCTTTTAATCAGGGTAGGCCAAAAGTCACAAATACATTTGATGTTCTAATAACTTTTTAAAAATTAAAACATTTTTAAATATAATGTAATTTCCTTTATATATACTGTATATGATGATAAAGGTAAAGATTTCGCCTTGACATAAAGTCTAGTCATGTCCGACTCTGGGGGTTGGCGCTCATCTCCATTTCTAAGCCGGTGTTGTCCGTAGATGCCTCCAAGATCATGTGCTTCAGCATGACTTCATGGAGTGCCGTTACCTTCCCGCCAAAGCGGTACCTATTGATCTATGCACATTTGCATGTTTCAAATTGCTAGGTTGGTAAAAGCTAGGGCTAACAGTGGGAGCTCACCCCACTCCCCAGATTTGAACCACCAACCTTTCAGTCAGCAAGTTCAACAGCTCAGCAGTTTAACCTGCTGCGCAACTAAGGGGCTCCTATATGATGATATAGTATTGTAAATAAAAAATAAAAGAATTACTGATTATTGAAAGAGGACCTAGAAAATGTCTAGAGAGAACATACATTGCCGGATGTGGCTAGATGTAACCACAGGACCCAATCCGGTGGGTATGCAGGATTGCAATGCATAGAAACAATGCCATTTCTCTCACTTGTCCATGTCAGTTTCAGATACCAACATTTCTTTTCATTTTGGACTTCTTCCTTTTTTAAGAAAAAGAAGTTGGAAGAGTCCCTTTATAGCTATCAACAACATTTATCCATTTGCAAGAACATATATGTATATAAAGCCCAAGGCAAGGAGAGAGCAATGCCGAAGGTTGACAGCAGCTGTGCTAAAGTTTCGAAACATTTGGAGTTGTGTAATAATGCCTGAAAGTAGAAAGAGTTGCAGCATTAAGCCTCACTGGAAAACAAGAAGCTATGTTAGTAATGCTCTTGTGATCTTTATATAGGGAACTCTTGCATGTTGAAACATTGAGCGATGCTGGTCGCACCCTCCACTTCAAACGTGGAAGAATAGAAGTTCTGCACCAAAACTGAATTTCTCTTCTGTCTAACTTACGTAAATGCTTCTTCTGCATCTTCTCTCCCCCTCCCCTCTGAAAGTGCCCAACAAAAACACAAGGCAGGTAACAGTAAAATCAAACACAGAAATGCAAAACTGCAACATAATACATTAAAAGCAATAATAATTCATATTAGAAAGTGGCTGGGAGATTCTGAATTGAAACGTAAGAGCAAACTTTTCCAAAGTCTGGATATTTTGCAAATCAAGGCGTCTTCAATTTGTATAATGTCCAGGCCTAAAATGTGGCAAAAAGTTCTCAAAATGCTTCCTAGAAGTTATGGAAACTTTCTGACATGTATTACCTCAAAAAAAATTAAAATTTTGCATCATGGAAGCCATAGAAATGAGTCTGGGAACTTAGAGCAGAATGATATTGCTATATCAGTAGCCACGAGGGCTAAAAACTTTATAGTATAAACCACGCTATTCACATGTACAATGAGATTACAACATACATAGGAGACCTAGATTTCTGTTCACAACTAAATATTATGCCTCCCTGACCAAGAAACGAAACCCATATGGCATATGGCATTTATGACTTCATAGATACTTAGCAATGTTTATACGTGAGATGCGGCGGGATAAGAAATTGTCTGCTGAATGTTTGCACCCAGTTGTATGTTTCCACCTTCCAAAGAGATTATAGAATCCCCAGCCTGGTCTTAAGGCATTGCCAAAAAGTAGCTATCTTCTAACTGGCTTAAATCAAATCCTTATGGAATTTCTTTGAACTTCAATCACATTTCTTTGAAAAAAATCCTCCCGCTTCTGTCAGCTCATGGGAACCGGGAACCGCTGGTGGCGCAATGGTTTAAACCCTTGTGCTGGCAGGACTGCTGACCTGAAGGTTGGGTTGCTGACCTGAAGGCTGCCAGTTCGAATCCAGGGAGAGTACGGATGAGCTCCCTCTGTCAGCTCCAGCTCCCCATGCAGGGACATGAGAGAAGCCTCCCACAAGGATGGAAAAATAGCAAAATATCCAGTGTCCCCTGGGCAACATCCCTGCAGATGACTAATTCTCATACACCAGAAGTGAACTGCAGTTTCTTTCTTTTTAATTTTTTTTTAAATTTTAGGACATACACATACACAAACACAACAGTTACAATTCCCACCACCACCATGAGGATTATTTTCTTTCACATATTAATCCTTTTGGAGACGAGTCTTCTAGATTTACATACTGTTTTAACATTTGTATTCTATTTCTTATGGCCTGATCTCTAGACTTATTAATAATATAATTCTTGACCTCGTTCCATCTTTCTTCAACTTCTTGCATTCTATTTTCATTACATTTTGAATCATTTAATTTTACATCCATAATTTCAAATTCCATTTGGTCCATCATGTACTGATACCATTTATTTATTGTCCACTTTGATTTGTCTTTCCATCCCAATACTATCACTGCTTGTGTGCACTCAATTATTGCTTCCTTTATTTCCCTGTAATTTCCCACTCCCTCTCTTTGTACAAAGACCGCCATTTCTTTTGTTATGACCCAATCAGTCCCTAATATTTGGTTTGACACATTTTGTATTGTCTGTCAGAAATATTGTTCGCATTCCTACATCATATGCATAAACCGCCCTTTCTGTTGACATCCATGCCAGCACTGACTGGTCCCCTTTTTATAATAGTACACTAATTGACAGGGTGTACGATTTTATTTATCGTGTCAGGAGCAACCAGACATTTCTATCACATTTTTAACAAAACAAACAAACAGACAAAACACAAAGTTTGCAAGCTTGGTAGTTGATTAAATGTCCTTTGACCGGTATCTGGCCACTTGGAGTGCCTCTGGTGTTGCCGCTAGGAGGTCCTCCATTGTGCATGTAGCAGGGCTCAGGTTGCATTGCAGCAGGTGGTCGGTGGTTTTATCTTCTCCACACTTGCATGTCATAAATTCCACTTTGTAGTTCCATTTCTTAAGATTGGCTCTGCATCTCATGGTGCCAGAGCGCAGTCTGTTCATCGCCTTCCAAATCGTCCAGTTTTCTGTGTGCCCAGGGGGGAGTCTCTCATTTGGTATCAGCCATTGATTGAGGTTCTGGGTTTGAGCCTGCCACTTTTGGACTCATGCTTGCTGGGGTGTTCTAGCGAGTGTCTCTGGGGTGTTCCAGCGAGTGTCTCCAGAAGCGACCAGAAGCGCAGGGTGTACGATACCACTTATATAATATTTTCCTCCTCGTTTCTCTTCTCTTGTATTCCTTGTTGTCCCTGCAACTTGCAGATTCTCAAGTTCCTCCTGACATGAAAAAATGGGAACTATACAGCCCTGCAGATGTTGCATTGTGACTCCCAGCATTCCTGATGCTTGGCTATGCAGAATGAGAACTGCTGGGAGTTGCATTCCTAT